TTTCGGGTTTTCGGGTTTCGGGTTTTAGGGTTTAGGGTTTAGGGTTTAGGGGTTCAGGGTTTAGGGTTTTAGGGTTTTAGGGTTTTAGGGTTTAGGGTTTAGGGTTTAGATTTTGGGCTTAGGGTTTAGGCTTTAGGGTTTGGGGTTCTGGGGGCTCCTTTAACAGGGGTTACCTTAAAGGGGTCTATAAGGGCGACGATACGGGTTTAGGGTTTAGGGGCCTCAAAGAATTGGAATAGGGTTTTGAGGCCCGTTGTACTATACTTGTAATGAGGAACCCCCCAAAATAGTGTTGGTAATCATTGAGGGCCCTATATTCCCACGAAGATCACCCTCGTTTTTCGGCCCAAGTGGTTCAAGTTTTAGGGCTTAGGCCCTTATTCAAGCCCCTGCACCTTAAGCCCCTACAACCCAGAACCCTAAACCCTAAACCCTAAACCCTAAACCTTAAGCCCCTACAACCCAATCCCTGTTGGAAAAAAAAATCCCGAGGCCCGGGCAACTCCTCCGCCAGGGCACCGCCAAAGACCTCCATCTCCTTCAGCTTCGACGGTTTAGGGTTTAGGGTTTAGGCTTCCATGAAGGGCCAGTTAAGGTTCCTTTAAGGGCTCTTTGAGGGTTCCGAAACAGGGCTGCCTTAAGGGTTTCTGGACCTTAAGCGGTCTAAAAGGGCTTTATAAGGGCGCTTTTCTCGTGTTTGTCATCGGTCAGAAAAGGGTTGGATGAGGGTTTTGGGCTTCGTAGGATTTGAAAATGGGGTTCCATGGGGGGCTTCAGACGGTTTGACTATAGAGGCCTTGAAAACTAGAACAGGGTTGTTGCAGGATTTTGTAAGGGCTGTGCATTGTTTGAATCGGCTGTGTTCTAGGAGCTTGAATAATTGGAAGTTGGCTTTTGGTATGTTATGCTCCAACTAAAACAAGTCCGGGGAATAATGGTTATTCCGGCCCCTACGTTTATTGGGGGCTGTACGACTATTGGAACAGGATTTGGGGGTAGATCACACTAACTATCATTACATTCCTAAACACTAAACCCTTAACCTTAAACCCTAAACCGGGGCTACAAGGGGATCTTGCTCCTAATTTGAAAACTTGTAAAACCTCTGACATCCTCATAAAACCAGACAAGACCACTCCAGTGCTCCGTGCTACGTTTTGGGGTCAACGAAGGTCACCCCGAAAATCGACATTCACGTCTTCTGGGACCTTTAGACCCTCAACCCCAAAACCCAACTCTACACCCTAACCCCCCACCCGAAAACTCCTCAAACCCCAAACCCTAAACCCTAAATACTAAACCCTAAACCCCTAAACCCTAAACCCTAAGCCCTAAACCCTAAACCCTAAGCCCTAAACCCTTTGCTAGACCGTCCTGGGCCCCATCGAGGCTGTGGAGCTTCTGTGCGGCCGAGTCCATGTCTACAGCGCCTTGCAGGCTCGGGGTGGTTGAGGACTTTACGGTTTAGGGTTTAGGGTTTAGGGTTTAGGGCTTAGGGGGTTTCGGATTCAGGGATTTAGGGTTTCGGGGGTTAGGGCTTAGGGTTTAGGGTTTAGGGTTTCGGGGGGTAGGGTTTGGGGAGTTCGGGTTTCGGGTTTGAGGCTTAAGGCGGTTAGAGTACTCAGGGTTCGGGGATGTCGGGCTTAGGACAGGTGTACGGTTTGGGGGATCCCCTTTGGAGGAAAAGAGGAGCTTGCGAAGGTTTGATAAAACAAAATGTAAGGTTCGACTTATGCTCTTGTGTGTATATCTGTTTATAGAGACAGATGCACATACGAGAATACAGAGTTTTATATGTACATACACATACACGAATACACACATACACTCGCATACATACATACATCCTTCTTTGCATGCATGCATGCATACAGATAAACGAGTATGTTAAATACTATATAATGTTGTATACAAGCATGTACATATACATACACATATATATATATATATGTATGCTACACACACATATATATATATAT